TGGTGGTGGCGGCGATGATGGTGCTGTGGTGGCAGCGGTGGTGGGGACGGCGACGTTTGTGGCGGTGGTGGTGGTGGTGGTGGCGGTGGTGCTCCTGGGTGGTGGTTCTGGTGGCGGCGACGGCGGCAATGGTGGTGGTGGCGGTGGCAGTGGTGGGGGCGACGGTGGTGGTGGGGGCGGCGATGGTGGTGGTGGTGGCGGCAGCGATGGTGGTGGTGGCGGCGGCGGCGGTGATGGTGGTGGTGGCGACAACGGTGGTGAAATAGGAGAAATTTATATATAGGTTAAAAAAATTAGGTTAAAGAAAGGGGTAAAAAAGGAAATAGATTCTAAAATCTATTCCTGAGCGTTCAGTAATAGGCTAATACCAGGGGGGCCCTAGTAATAGCTATTACCTTATTTGAGGTAATAGGCTATTACCAGGAATATTATTCCTGGTAATAGAAATGGTTACCAAACAAAGGAATAGGCCTATTACTGGGAATGCTATGCCATTTCGGGCCTATTCCGTGAACCAAACGGGCCATAAGTGAAAATATTGTAAATTGCAATGTTTGTATTTCCAGTGGCTTGGAACAAATTGTTGCTTCAAATTCTTGAATAACCAAACACTTTCTTTAGCATTTTGATCTTTGGGTTACATCATATTTACCTATCGTCCAATATCTTTGGGTTATATTATAATTAAAATTTTTAAATTTTAACTACTTCATCTAAATTCTTTAAATTAAGAATTTCTTTATCCATAATAATTTATTTAACAATAATGGTTGAACTAAATGAACACTGAGCAAAACACCTAAAGGACTGATACCGTTGATTTATTCATTGATCTTGTATATATGTGCATTCATTAAATATATTAGAACCCTTTGCAACAAAAATACTTGGTTACTATTTAAAAAACGTTTAGTAACAATTATAATGAATCTCCTATATTATATTGTATTCATATAGTATGAGTTACATATTTAAATAAACAAATTCGACATTAAATTACTTATGTATGAACTTCTCATATATAATCTTGCATTGATATACTTTCAAATATTTATTTAATTATAAACATTCGGCATTAACCCATTCGCGCAATGCGCGTGTAAAACTAGTATTATTAATAACCATCAATAAAAAAAAATTATTTCATTAAAAATTAATAACAATATTGAACACTAAAATTTATAGTAAAACAATTGTTCAAATAAAATATTTAAAAAAGGAAAATGACACTTTTTCTGCTGAATTATATGTTTATAGCACATTTTCTCCCTGAATTATTCATGTAAGTAAATTAGCCCCCTCAATTATTCTAAAAGTAGCGGTTTCCCCTCCTCATCTATTAAATTGACATATCTACCCTTAAAGTAAATATTTTATTTATTTTTCTTCTCCAACAAATTATTTCTTATACGTAGGGATGATCACGGTTCGGTTCGAACTGAACCGTACACTATAGCAATTGAATCGAAAGTTTCCGGTTATGATTCAATATTTGGATTTCAGTTTATTAAAATCATTAATCGAAAATATTGGATCCTGAACCGTGAATTGACGGTTCGAATTGGAACAACTACTAGCATTAGTTTAAAATTAGAAATATAATATTTACAAATAGTGTATGTTCTTTTTTACATTTATTCTGATTCTCACATATAAGTATACTAGTTTTTTCACGCGCATTGTGCGAATGAGATAATGCCCAATGATTATTTTTAAATAAATAATTCGGAGTATATCAATGCAAGATTATATATAGGAGATGTTAATGCATAGGTAATTGAATATTGATTTTGTTTATTTAAATAAGTAATTCAAAGTATATATAAATTCAAGATAATATATAGGAGATTGATTATAATTGTCACTATGATAAATGTTTGCAACTTTGTAATAACGCTAGTCTAACTACTTAGTCTAAAACTGATAGTCTAAATATATACTACTTTCGATTTAAATTTCTCTAAGTCTTCTTTATTCTCTTTTGAGTAGCATTGTCATTGTTTTCATCTTCAGTAGTTGTCCTCATCTTTTTTTTTTTTGTTATTCGTAGTGTGTCATGTGCAATTGGGTTACTGGTGGTAGCTTAAAGGTCAGCGTCATGCAATGAGATTATTGTATAGTAAATTTTAGATTTGTCTTGTTGCGTATATGATTGAGGTCTTAGTTGTACTATGAACTATTTATTATCTTGCAAGTGTCTGTTGATATTTGCCAGTGGTAGTATTTTTCCCTACATATGTTTCATGTGTTGTGAGATGTGTGCCGTAGATTATCATGTAAAAGTATTGAAAAAAATATTAATATTTATTATATTTGTATAAAATACTTGGTAAATAAATATATAACATATTTTGTATTATAAATTCGATATTTAATTACAATATATTGTAAAAACAAGACAATGACAATATACTGAATATAATTAATTAATGAATTTGAAGGTATAGAATCTTTGAATGGTAGAAAATAAATATAATATAATTAATGAAATTATATATGTTTTTTTATGTTTTTATAATGAATTTTGTTTTTGAATAAAGGTAATATAGATATCTAGTTATAAATTAATTAAATGAAAAAAAAAACTTAACATAAATTAGTTTTTTTTTTTTTTTTTTTTAATGCAAGAAATGATTGCAAGGTTCATGATTTATAATCTTTGATGCTCAACTTTGAATGTTATTTATTTAGTTGAGCTAATTATTTGACCAAAGTTTATGTTAAATTTTATATTTTATTTTTTAACATATGCGTAGTATATGTTTTAGAATTATGCCGGATTGAGGTGAGGTTCGAGCCTAAGACCTTTCTTATAGAAATTAATAAGTTAAGAAAAATAAATAGTTAACGGAATATTCCCTTACTAAAGTTTATTCTAACGAAGTTTAGGGTTATTTAAGAGAATGAAATAATATAATAGAGGGTAAATAAGGAAAATCATTAAAAATATACTTAAATCAAAATAATATTAACCATTCTTTTTAAGAAACAATACTACTAACATTTTTTTTTTTGTTCCAGTTAAGGGCCTAACATTATTGGCTCTTATTAGATTTGTATATGTAGATATGATCACGATTTGGTTTTGAATTTGAACTGCCGGTTTACGATTCCGGATCCAGTTTGAACTGTTGGTTCAAACTTTATTTTAAAATTTTATAGAGTATTTTTTTGAATAGTCTAAATTCAACAATAAATGTATTTTATCTTTTCAGTTTGGAACATGAATCGGCTGTTTCGGCTCGCGATTTTAAAAAACTCTAAATATCGAGTTTCGATTCTAAATTGTAATCGGAATATTTCGATTTGGTTGCTATAGTTTCTGTTCAGTTTGAACCAAATCGTAGTCATTATTTGTTGGAGAAGAAAAATAAATGGAATATTTATTTTAAGGGTAAATATGTCCATTTAAAATTTTAAGAGGAAAAACTGTCACTTAAATAATTTCGGAGAAAAAAATTCTATAAGTATATAATTCAGGGGAAAAGATGCTATTTTTTCATTTGAAAATATAATTACAAGTTGCATAAAAAAAATTATATATATATATATATATATATATATATATATATATATATATATATATATACCAAGACTATGTGTTCTAATGGTACCCGAGTTGGACTTTCATTTGGAAGGTTGTGAGTTTAAGTCTCAGTGGAGGCGTTATATGAACAGATACTACAATGTAATAGAGCCAGTAACATTTAAATATAATAAAATAATTCGAATTTTTAGAGGAAGATTGTAAAGTTTAGGAGAGATAAAAAATTGGTAGAGTTTAGGTATGAAGAAAATATAGGATAATGAGTAAAAAAATAATTTTATTGAATTTAGATAGGTTTATAAAGTTAAAATAAGGAAAAAAAATAGAGTTTAAATAGGGAGCAAAAATATCCAGAGTTAGAAGAAAGAAAATTTTGAAATCTTTGAGTTGATGGTTGGATTTCAACTATTTATATTTGAGAAGGAAAAATCTACAAAAGTCCTAAAATTAAAAAATCTACAAAAGTTCATAACTTTTTAAATACCGCATGACTTTTAAAGACTCTTTAAAAGTCTTAATCGAGTATCACCCGACTTTTAAAAACTCTTTAAAAATCTTGATTGAATACCGCATAATTTTTAAAGACTCTTTAAAAGTTTAAATTGAATATCTCCAAACTTTTTAAAATTTATAAAAGTCTTTAAAACTTTATGAAAATCATGATTAAATACAACCGGGAAGTTAAGAGTAGAAAATTGTAAGTATTTTCCAAAGAAATATTAGGCTAGCCACATCCCTGCAAATTGGGATTGGCAAGCTTACTTGACAAGAGAGAGAATTTAATTAAATTATTATTTAATGCCAAGTGTAATGCAAGAGGGGAGAGAATTTATAAAATTTACAAGAAGAGAGAGAATTTACAAATGAGAGGATAAAGCTGAAAAGTGCTGAAAAGGGCTTCCAGCACGCATCTTTTGATTTATTATTATTATTATTTTATTTAATATTATTATATTTATAATATAATATGAATGTGAGACTCATTTTTTAGAGTGAGATAAATTTGTAGGAATGTAGTGTGAATAGTAAATGATTTATAAATGAAATGATGTAAAAGTTGGACCTATATTTTAGAGTGGAAAAAATTTGCAAGGATAATGTTAGTTTTAGTGGGTAAAAATGTCAGCGGTAGGGATGTGACATCATTCTTCATCAGTCCATCCACTAACTCTACCAGTGGGGGAAAAAAGAAAAAAAAAAAGAATTTAAAAGTTCAATGGGACCCGTCACGAGGAATCCGAGCTGCCAATAAATCTGGGCCGTTCATATCACCCTCACTGAATATCTAACGGTGAATAGAGGCAGGAATTATTATAGTCCGTAACTCCGTATAGCGTTGCTACGTCTATATAAACGAAGATTCCTTTAGCAGTCGGATAACGAAAATCCATTTAATATAATTCCTTCTAGCCTCCATAGCCAAATTTCATAGAAAATCTCGACTGTGTTGACGATGATTCGCTCCGTCGCTGCTTCTCTTCTCCTTCTCACCTTCTCGATCGTCGCCGTAGCCGATGGTCGTGACTTCCTGAAACTACCGTCCGAAGCTCGCAGATTCTTCCGGCCGGCGGAGGAGGAGAACAGAGAAGCCGATGGCGATGACTCCGTCGGCACTCGTTGGGCCGTTCTGATTGCCGGATCCAATGGTTATTGGAATTACCGACATCAGGTAGTTATTCCTCTTTCATCCGCTCCATACATAAAGCTTTTTACCCGGTCAAAAAGTTTTTTTTTTTTTTTTTTTTAAGTGTTATTAAATTTGAATTATATAAACTTTTGTATGTTTCTAAGATTATTTTGTTTGCACGACATTTTAGAGCTGTTGTGAATGATTTTTTTGTGATCAATGATTACTGTTCTTTGCTTGGAAGTTAAGGAACCTTTAGGTTGAAAAAGTTGATTACTTCTGGATGCAGCAAATGCTACTTTTGGAGTCTTATTCCACTGTTCTTCTGAGTATTTTTTTTTTTCTTTAATTTTGATTTATGGATCTCTCGAGCTTTATACTTTGTGTTATTGAGGGAATTATTTGCAGATTATCTTTTTATAATTTCATGTGTTCAATTCAGAAACAGTATAGGAAAAGGAGAAAAAGGCAAAGACAGTGAGCAGAAAAATTGCCCTTCTGGTGGGACCAAATATAATAAAATAAATTGAGGTTAAATTCTTTTTGTGGTTTCTATGCTCTAGCTGCTGAAATTTTCATGAGATCTTGTTGGAAGACAGATTTTTGGGTTACTGTGTTTGTTTTTCTGCTTGAGATGATAAAGGCAACAATTGAGACTTATTCCAGCTAGTTTAGAGTATAGTCATGCAAGCCATACAATTTTTTAGCTGCATGTGAGACTTCTTTGTAGAACATTTGATGTTTGATTGTCTACTTTGAAACTCTTGAGTCTATTCTTGATTATAAATCAAGTATTAGAAAACCTTTTATCACTAAAGTTTCAGTGTTCCTATGGTACTATAAAGGGTAAAGAGAGGAGTTTGTTAGATTGTAACGTTGTTTTATAAGCTAGCTCTGCTCAAAACAGAGTTAAGCTTGCATACATATTCCCTTCTTAGACTCTGCAAATATTGGAGTCTTATGTGTTCAGCACAACCAAGTTAGACATGCTGTGATGCAGAGCTAAGGTTCTGTCTATAACCTTAGGCAGGGGAAAGTCTTTAAGAAATAAGAAAAGAAGGAAATCACTAGTCAAAAGATAAGAAATAATTGGATATTGGTTTTAAAGTTTCTCTTAATAGAATACAATATTCTATCGGTAAATTCCAGTCTGTAAAGACTTTTGACTATCTAAGAGGACTCAATCAGCAGGCTGCATAATTTCTTCTGAGTTTAGTTTTGTTCTGATGATCAAGAGATTTTTGTTCTGGAATAATTGAATTCGATGAAGGTTTCTCATTGACCTTAATTTTTGTGCAGGCTGATATATGCCATGCCTATCAGATATTAAAGGCAGGCGGTCTCAAGGATGAAAACATTGTTGTATTTATGTATGATGACATTGCTTACAATGAAGAGAACCCTAGGAAAGGGGTTATCATCAATAACCCTCATGGTGAAGATGTTTATCATGGAGTTCCTAAGGTAAGTTTCTATCCTCATCATGAAGTTCCACGTATAACCTGGACTTCAACATCTCCTCTCACATGGTGTAATTTTATGGTGCAGGATTACACAGGGGATGATGTTACTGTTGACAACCTCCTTGCTGTTATCCTCGGGGACAAATCTGCAGTTAAGGGTGGCAGTGGGAAGGTTGTGGATAGCGGTCCAAATGATCACATCTTTGTTTACTACTCTGATCATGGTGGTCCTGGTGTGCTTGGTTAGTATCCCCTTTATAATGTTTCATTCTGATCAAACCTTGGTGAAGCCCTGGTTCTTTCACGCTCATTGTTGTTGAACATATAAGTTGGAAATTCTTTTCAGTCACCTTTAGAAAAGGTGTGATTTGTATCTTTCGCTAATGTCTGCCTAAGGGTAAAAGCCCCTCAGCCTAGGGGCACCTAGTTCGATTTTTACAACAGTGGTTCTACGCTTTACGTTTAGGAATTTAAACCTTTACTTCCATCATACCTTACTAATATTCTTAAATATGTTTTAAGAAAATCCATACTCTATGCCTTGCAAAAATAACAAAACTAATTGGCCAGAACCCCACTTTACTCACTTCTACCTTCACTTTCTAGGGACTTCTACACGGGTTGTCTTCTTAAAATTCTAGAATACCCTGTGTACTAACCACATGTATGCTAGTTATTTTTAACACACAACTTTTGTTATATACTTCATTCATTTAAATCATGGCTTCTGATAATTACACCTGCATATTCAATGAAGGTATGCCTACCAGTCCTTATCTCTATGCTGATGACCTGAATGCTGCCTTGAAAAAGAAGCATGCTGCTGGGACATATAAAAGCTTGGTAATTATTTTTTATTGGCCTTCATTTTGATAGCTCATTATAATTTATCACCTTGAGTTCTGAATATTGTGGGGCCTTCTCTTAATTCTAGGTATTTTATCTAGAAGCTTGTGAGTCTGGGAGTATATTTGAGGGTATTCTCCCTAAAGATATAAATATCTATGCAACAACAGCTTCAAATGCTATAGAGAGTAGCTGGGGAACATACTGTCCAGGAGAGTATCCTAGTCCTCCTCCTGAATATGAGACCTGCTTGGGCGATTTGTATAGTATTGCCTGGATGGAAGACAGGTATGTGTTTACTTTCTCTGCTTCTTGTCTTCGTTCAACTCCCCCCACCCCCAAGATCTACCCCGAGTACTTGCTCAAAATGGATTTTTGAAATGTAACAAATAACCCTACTTTCAATTTTGCTTTTTCGTATGAATCCTTAATTATTACTTGTATCAATGACCAGTGACATACACAATCTGAGGACTGAAAGTCTGAAGCAGCAATATAACCTGGTAAGTGCTCATAGAAAAACTGTTGTACTCTTTGATCAACTTAAAAGTACTAAATTCCATAGAGGTAATTACTCGATTTGCTATACTAAAATGGGGGAGCACCATACCAAGGAAATTTGGATGGTGGGTGACTGAGGTCCGTAGACTACTTTCGTATATTAAATACAGTGCAGATATGATAGTGAATTTCTTCTATTTGCATAATTTATCCAAGTAGAAATTCATGCACTTGATGAAATGTATATTGGATACTGTCCCTTTATATGCTCCATTTATCAAAAGGGAAATCATTATCTCATTGCCTTAACACACGCAGGTTAAGGACAGGACTCTCAACGGAAACACAGCCTATGGTTCCCATGTTATGCAATATGGTGATTTAGAGCAGAATGTGGACTCTCTTTTTCTGTATATGGGTACAAATCCAGCAAATGAAAATTTCACTTTTGTGGATGAAAAATCGCTGAAATTATCAGCGCCAAGAAGGGCTGTGAACCAGCGTGATGCAGATCTCTTGCATTTTTGGGACAAGGTTAGGTTGCAAGAACTTGTTCTCTCATTATTAGTGAAATCTGATGCTTCAAGTAATCAAATTTCCAAGGAGTTGAGAAATATTTGACATTTTGTATCCCTTTCTGAATACTGGCAGTTCCGCAATGCTCCAGAAGGCTCGGCAAGGAAATCTGAAGCTCAGAAGCAGTTTACTGAAGCCATTTCACACAGAACACACCTAGACAACAGCATTTCACTCGTTGGAAAGCTCCTCTTTGGAATCGAGAAAGGTCCCGAGGTGCTGAACAGCATCCGTGCTACTGGCCTACCCCTTGTTGATGACTGGAGCTGCCTCAAGTCGTTTGTAAGCACACGAACCTAAATCTCAGTTTGCACTCGTAAAAACACCCTTTGATTTATAAATTTATAGTATCATCGCCTAAAACACGAACAACATTTACCGCGTACACAGGTGAGAGCTTTCGAGACACACTGTGGTTCACTGTCACAGTACGGGATGAAACACATGCGCTCCATTGCCAACATCTGCAATGCCGGGATTTCAGAGGAGCGGATGGTTGAGGCATCAGCTCAAGCTTGCCCAAGCTTCCCTTCCTATTCCTGGAGCTCTCTCCGCGGAGGATTCAGTGCATAATTTGCAGTGTGAATTGTGTAATTATCTGGGGGTTTCATTATCAGCCTAGGTGCTAATTCAGATATTTGGGGGTTTCATTATCAATATATGATCAGAGAATTAATATTATGATGATGATTTTAGATTTACTGCTTGTTATTATAATAGCTTCATGGCCTATTGGCCTGCATGTAAATCTTGTTGTGATGCGCTTTCTATCGGAATGGGGATATAGCCAACCCATCTCTCTTTGTAAATAATGTCCTAAACATATATATACCATAATGAGTATTTCTTATGGTTTAATGTTATTATCGCTTCTTTATATTAATTATAGATCAAGCTTTACTGTGTAGGTAGTGAATAAGTTTGATAAGCCACAAAACATATAAAATATATATCAATGACATTAATGTTATCATTCGGAGATATGAATTTGTTCAATTTTCCGTTGCAATTCTTCTTCCTCTAAAAGGTTAAATCTTTAACTCGACATCTTGGTCTGATAAAACATTTGGGAGATGTAAATCACGGTAATTTAATGACTCAGCAGACAGAACCAAATGCTGATTCTGTCAACTTTGGACATAATCTTCATAGTACCACCACTGAAGTTTGAACTTTGGCCCTTCTTCCAAATATTACCTATTGAACCATTGAGCTAATCCTGCATAAACATTGACAAAACGAAATCCTGATCAACAACCATTAGAGTAAAGTAAAAATTATACATACCAACACCTCCTATCATAGCATAGATGGAAACAATGATGAGCTTGGGATTGACCTCCAGATTTGAGTCCTTAGAACAAGAAGCAGGGTTGACCAACCACCAGTGGGGTAAAATTTAGAAGAATTCTATATGGACTTTCAAATTCTACTCCATCAAGGCATTGATTATATTTCTTGATGTGGTAAGCATGGATAAGACATTTTTATCTTATGGGTCCAGAAAAGTTGTCTACATCTAAAATTTGTGTGAGAGAATAAAAGTTGGAAGTAGAATTTAAGAGTACAAGTAATATTTTTCAATTTAGAAATATAATACCAAACTTTTGTACATACAAATTACTTTTAAAAAATCAACCCATAAAATTATTTTGGGATAATGTTTATGTACATTGATTTTTGTTTTATGAACATATAGCCATATAAAATAAACATTATAAACCTATATACTATAGAATGAATGTAAATAGATACTCCTTATGATTTACTCGTAGTTTAGTGTTTATGTAAATTAAAGTTTATTTTATGATCATGTAGAATCAATACTATGATCATAATACAAGATGAAGGTTATTAAATGTAACATGATACATATGTAATTTAATTTTGTATATATTAAACTTTGTTTTGGAATGAATATATATATAAGGAATATTATAAACCTACTATATACTAAATATAAATAAATGTGATGCATTTGTAGTTTAAGTGTTTGTAATGATATAAAATAAATATTATAAACATAATACAAAATAATATTATTAAACATGATGCACGAATTTACATTTATTATAAAATGACTATATCATTGTGAATCAGGGTCAACCGTTTTCACGATATAATTTGCCATTCTTGCCCAACCCACCCTGCTTTTCGTAAAACTATATAGATGAAGCTAGCAGCTCCATCTATTTGGAAGTTGTGCCATTTTGTTCAAGGTTTTATATTTCAAGCAGAACCATATATCCTGGAAGCTTTGCTTCATTGAATGGAATGGCAGAGAAGTTTTGGTGTTTGGTAAGTTAGTTGAAAGCTGAAAAGTTATTATAAGTTAGAAGCTGAAAAACTGAAGAGTTATTAAGCTAGTTGATTATGATTAAAAGTGTCTGGTAAAATTAACTTTTTGATAAGTTGATAAATGTAAAATGAGTTTTACTATACGTACTCTCAAATTTTACTCCCTTATTTATACTCCCTGAGGTGGCAAACAAGGATTGGTTATTTGCATCGTGTGGGTCCACAGAAAATGTCTACATCAAGAACATGTGAGAGGGAGTACAAGTTGGGAATATAAAATGGGAGTACAACAAGTATTTTCCATGTAAAAAGACTAAAAAAGACATCTTCATAAAATTTAAATAGGTTTGTTTACTTATTAAAATTTAACATTTTGAAATGAAACTATTAGCATAATCATGATTTAGCATCTCATGGTGAAGTAGCAATATTGTTGCGAATCTCCTTCATCGAGCGGTATGTAATCTGGATGTGCTGAAGCACATTAAACATCATGTCATCTTGCGAATCTTCCATCAATATTATCATTTGTTGAAATTAGAAAAGGCCAAAAGGATTTTAATTGAGGGGGTAAAGGAAGTCATTTATTTAAAATAATAAGGATAAAGATAGAAAAACAGTTTAGGAGCAACTAGCTTATTTTTTAAACGCTTTCAAAATAATAAGCTATTATTTTAAATTACTAGCTTATTTTGGGAACTTATCCAACAAAACTTATACTTATTAGTAACTTAAAATAAGTTATAAGTTCCTAAATAAGTTCTGCCAAACAAAGCAAACATATATGTAGAAAATAGAAACACAAAATAAGAAAATTGAACTCGAGCTAGAAAGCATTAAACAAGCCACTCTTGTAAGCATCTCGGTTGAAATACTCTGGACACCATGGTCCACAGAGCTTTGTGGACCATGGCCAAAAAACAGTGCAATTTCTTTAAGTAAAGAAACGACAGTCGTTTTTTTTTTTTTTTTTTTTTTAAAAGAGCCTGGACGGCATTCATTGGAAATATGCTGAAATAGAGTGTGGCGGACCACTGTCCGAGTACATAGGTGCTGAATAATTAAAGGCCGAAGTGGCTAAAATATGTGCTAAACAATTATCTGATCTAGGAACATAATTAACTGAAACATAATCAAAGGAAACCATCCGGTTTCTGCAAGTGTCAATGGCATAGCCGATGTACGAACGTGGTGTTTCCTTCGGTTGCGATAAATACTGTTGTAGTGACAAACAGTCCGTTAGTATGTCTACCGATCTCTCTCCACGATCCCATAGCCAGGATAATACTTCTTTACATGCAATTGCTTCTGCCATAAGCGGGGAAAAACAGTCTATCAATGGCCACAAGCCTGTAGAGCTGTGATATACGATCCCTGTTCGTCTAGGAAAATTGCCCCAACAGCGGCCTTACTTGTGGCCTGGAAAAAGGCCGCATCAAAGTAACATCTCTTCCGTACGGAGGCAGCCGCAAGGAGTGTGGGCAGAACGGTAGCAGGCTGCAATGCCGCACTTTGGTGCTGCTCGGGGATTGCCGTGGCCAGTCCACGCGGAGCACGTTGCTGCATCGGGCGGTCCGGGTGTGCTATTTGCCATGCCCGGATCGCTGCGTTTACAGTTGCAATTATCTTTTGTGGTCTGGGCAAGTATGCATCCCACACAGCTCCATTCCTCGCTCGCCATATATAGTATAGTAGGCCTACTGCATAAATAATTCCATCATCATCTAGAATATTTAATATGTCATTAAACCAAACATGGAAAATATCTGTGATAGTACTGGGGATTGGAAGGCGAGATTGTGCCCAAATGTTCCTTGTATAATCACATTCAACCAAAGAGTGCATAACATTCTCATGCATAATCCCACACATAGCACATGCTGGGCTAATCTCCACTCTCTTTATAATGAGGTTCGTTGTTGTGGGCAATATATTATTCAAGGCTCTCCATAAAAATGTTTTCCATCTCGGGGGTACTCTGAGCTTCCATAATTTGGGCCATTTATCAAACATCCCTGTCGTCTGTACATAATTTCCCACTATTTGCCTGTAACCGCTTTTAACTGAATATTCACCTGTTATATCACCATGCCAATACCACATATCCTCATAATCTGGTGCCACTGGTATTTTCAATATCCGTGTCACATCCTCCGGAATGAAAATACCAGTCAAAATATCCTGGTCCCAAGCCGCCGTTTCTTGATTTATTAATCCCATCACAGTTGCCTGTGCCAAATATGGTGGTTTGTCAGTGATTATTTTCGCATTATTCTCATCCTGAAGCCATGGATGATCCCAGATAAGAGTTCCTTTCCCATTCCCAATCCTGCGCCTGACTCCCCCACAAATTAATTCCTGTGCAGCCATAATACTACGCCAGCAGTAACTTGGGTTATTTCCTATATAAGCATCAAAGAATGTCCCTTTAGGATAGTACCTGGCTTTATATATTCTGGAAACCAGTGATTCAGGTTTGGTGAGTAAACGCCAGGCCTGTTTCCCCAGCATAGCTAAATTAAAGGCATGCAATTCTTTAAAGCCCAATCCCCCATACTTCTTAGGGATGCATAATTTATCCCATGCCTTCCAATGGATGCCCTGATCATCCTTAGATCTCCACCAGTAACGATTCATAGCTCTCTCAATGGCTGTGCAAGTATTCATAGGTAGTAAAAAGACACTCATAGAAAAGGTGGGCATAGACTGTGCCACACTTTTCAACAATACTTCCTTACCCGCCTGTGAAAGCAATTTCTTATTCCAGGACCCAATCCGCTATCTTACCTTATCATCAATATATGAGAACACTGCTCTCCTATTCCTGCCCACAAACGATGGGAGTCCTAAATACCTCCCAAAATTCGGAGCCTGAACCACTCCCAATATACTAGCAACCTCCTCTCTATGCTCATCCCGCGTATTCTTACTATAGCAAATACTTGACTTATAGTAATTCACTGCTTGCCCAGACATTTCCTCATACACCGATAAACACTGTTTCACCACATTGGCTTCCTGCGCAGTTGCTCTAAAAAAGAGCAAGCTATCATCTGCAAAAAATAAGTGAGATATAGGGGGGGCTCCCCTAGCTACTCTGCACCCGTGTAGATCTCCTCTCAATTGTGCCTGCTGTAGTAACAATGAAAGTCCCTCAGCACAAATAATAAAGAGATAAGGTGACAGTGGGTCACCCTGCCTTAATCCACGAGTCGGGACGATCTGGTCACTTCGTGTTCCAATAACCAGTATACTATATGAAACTGAGGTCACACACAGCATTATCAAATCCACCCACCTTTCATCAAAGCCCAACGCTAACATCATACCACGCAGGAAGGGCCACTCCACTCGGTCATAGGCTTTAGCCATATCCAGTTTCAAAGCCCCCCACCCTGTGACTCCACATTGTTTTCTATTCAAAAAATGTCCTACCTCAGCAGCAATCAAAATATTATCCGTTATTAGCCTGTCAGAAATAAAAGCACTTTGGGTGTCAGATATAATATCCCCCATAAGCGGTTTCATCCTGGCAGTTATAACCTTAGCCATAATCCTGTACACC